CCCCCCCCCCCCCCCCCCCCCGGAAACCGGTTTTGTCCTCCCGAGAAAAAATAAACAAGTTTTAAAAAAAATCAATCTAACTTTTTAAAATTTTTTATGAAAATTCTACAAGATACTGTCACTAAATATAAAGCTGTTAACAGGAAAGATTTATTTTAGTTTTTGAATATAACATATCTATTGCTTCCCATTATTTTCAATTTAATTGAAAATGTTTCTTTTCACATCATTGCTCATAATATGATGAGGATATGCATTTTTTTTCTCTGCCTTTTCAGCATTCATAAGAAGATAATGTCGCATAGGATAATTCTATCGAATGTATAATATTACGCATGTAAACAAGCGAATGTATGTAATTTAATTACAAATCAAACAACTTAACATTGTGTATTATACATATTAGATTAATCTAATAAGAATGTTGAACTGAATGTGTTAGGTCTGTGTTACATTGATTGACTTGAAAAAATCAGAAATGTTTAAAATAAACACATTTATATGTCTTTTTTTCATTTATTCATTCATACTATAGCGTCGTATTTTTGTATTTTTTTCTGTCCCATTTTTCAAATCAAATAGCGATTATAAACTCATCTTGAGAATGTCAAAACAAAGTTCTCTCGATAAATATTTTGGAAAAAGAAAAGAAAATAATGATGTTGATAAATCAGCAAAAAGGAATCGTATTGAAAATGAAAATATCATTACTCAATCAAACGCCATTGCAAATGACCCCTGCGATTTAATCAATGATAGCACAACAACTGATATCCAATCTATTGAAGACAACTCTATTATAAGTAAAGCAGCTACACTGCTAGTTCTAGATTCATCAACAATAATTTTGAATAATCATTAGGTTCGATATCCATCTCCAACAACATTGGAAAACGTTCTTACAAGTCATCGTGTACACAGAAATTTCCATGGCTTCTTTACGAGTCAAATACCGGTGGATTTTGTCAAATATGCCGCAACTATTGGAAACCTAGTACACCATTATTCCGGGATATGGAGCAAAAAACAAAAGGTGTATTTACTTCAACTCCATTTACTAATCGGAAAAAGGCACTAGGTGATAATGGAAAATTAATGAAACATTCTCGATCATCATATCATCTAATGGCAATTGACAACGACATATTTCGACAACGAGAAGGTTCTGTCCTTAATCAAATAGTTTGCGGTAAGTGAAGCACAAAAGAAAGAAAATAGAGATCGTTTAGGTGATTTGCTTGATTGTTGTTATTTTCTTTTCAAAAATGAATTACCACATACAACCCTGTACGATCCATTACTACAATTGGTTGGTCGTCTTGATCATAGTTCTAAACTCGCCGACTTTTTTCAAAATTGCAAGAAAAATCCTACTTACAATAGTACAACATCGGTAACTGAATTTCTTGAATCTACCAATGAAATTTTAGAAAAGAACATTCTTAATAAAATACGACAGTCAAGATTTATTAGTATCATGTCTGATGAAGGAACTGATATCAATAGACATGGAAATGTATGCATTTGCATCAGATACTGCGATTAAACGACTGGAGCACCATGTGAAAGTTACGTAAGTTTATTGCATTTAAAAAATAAAGATGCAGAATCTATTTTTAATTCTATTATAACGGATTTACAAAAGAAAAGCATTGATTTAAACAAAATTCGCTTCGTTTCATTTGACGGCGTCGCAGTCTTCAGTGGAATACATAATGGTGTTGCAGCTAGATTTCGTGCTGCATTCAATATAGCAATATTATTTATTTATTGTCGAGCTCATTTGTTACAACTAGCTGTAATTTCTGCTGCTGAAGATTCTCCTGATATTTCTAGAAGCTTATCCGCACTTAAATCATTAGTTAATTTTATCAATCGATCATCGGTAAGATTAAGTTCATTTGAAAATATTCAAGATATTTTTAGAAATCAACATATTAAATTGATCCAACCCGGTGATACACGTTGGCTTTCTAACTCTTTAGCTATTCGATCTCTTTTACAATCGTATCAATTATTATTAATAACACTTGAAAGTATTTATAATGAAAACAATGAAGATAGTGCGGAAGCACTAGGTCTCTACAATATTTTATCGAATGAAGGAACTGCATTTATTCTCCATGCACTTCAACCAATATTAGACACTTTAGCAATTTTATCAAAATCCATTCAAACAAAAGCGGCTGATTTCAAGCAATTACAAGATTTTTTAACATCAACTCTCCTTCGACTTGAACAACTTAAAGACTATACTTCTGATGATTATGTTGCTATAATTGAAACTATTCAAAAATTATCATTAACATCTTCTACAATTCGAATTTCAAGATCATCAATATCAAATTTAGAATTAAATATCAGTGAAGTTTTTTCTACAAAAGTACTTCCATTTATTGAAAATGTTATTAATAATATTCAAACTCGTTTCGAACATAGTACTCTGAATTTACTCAATTGTTTTATGATATTTGATATGGAAAATTTGAACGATAATAAGGATTATGGTGATGAAGAAATACGTGCTATTCAACAGCATTATGCAAGTGACATTGATGAATCTGTTATTTATGAATGGAAAACATTTCGTACATATTTATTAGCAAAAAGAAATGGTGGTAAACTTATGACCCAGAGAGAAATTTGTATGAAGCTCGTACAAGATGGTATGTTAAAGGAAATTTATCCGCAGTTATCATCAGCTGCAGAAATGCTTCGGGTCGCACCTATCAGTACAGCTACAGTCGAAAGAAATTTCTCAACAATGAATCGAATTCTTACGAAATTAAGAAATCAATTAACAACACAACATGTTGATCAATTAATGAGAATTTCCATTGAAGGTGCAGATACTTTAAATGAAGAAACCAAAGAAGAAATAATTAATTACTGGAAAAAAGTAAAACCACGTCGATTAGCTGTTTGAATTATATGATATGGATTTTCACATTGTTCTTATAATTTTCTGCCCTTTCTTTTGGTGTACTTATTGCTATTTGTTCTTTGTATATGTTATACGTATTTTTCAATTAAATGAAATAATGAAATTTTGCATTTTATAACTTATAGAACACGATCGGTTGAAAATGTCGATATTATGACTCGACAACATTGATCGTAGCTACTTGCTTACGAACTTATGCCTGCCCTCCCGACAACTGAATTTACCCCCGGGAACGAAAAACCTGGATAAAACACTGACGGAAAGTTCTACGAGTGAGTAGATTATATATAGTTGGTAAAATCTGAATATTACATAGAATAGCATCGTTTTATTGTATATTAACACATGTAAAAACTCAGTATGAGAAGTTTATTGGTTAAAACATACTTCTAAATAAATAATTAAAGAAATTAATGTATCGAATTTCAAATTGAATAGATCTGCATTGTAAACTGAATAATAATAATTATGGAATAATTGAGATAGAAATAAAGAAATGATGATTAATAGAAAAATAATCTGATGATAGAGTGCTTCGTAGAGCTACGAGCCTCCAATTTCGATTCTGACGAAGTGGAAGTCTAGCTCACCAAAAAGAATTTTTTGGTGTTTGAGTTGCACGCAAAGTCGTGATCAGAATACTTCTCTCCAGTCAGACTTGGAATAATTGAGAAGAATAATTTCTGAAGTCTATGTTATATTTATAGCAATAAAACATTCAAGATTTTTTACTCTTACTTAATAACAACTTCATTCTTCATATGTTAATTAACAAAGAGAACTATGCTACATTGTAATCATAAGTTTCAAGGAGAAAAAAAAACCTCAAAGAAATATTTACTTTAACGAATAGAGCGAAATAAAGTAAATAAAGGATTATTAGATAGACCCTTATCTTGGGGAATTGGATGAAAATTTTGTCGAGTTTGATTCAGCATGGCTATTCATCCAAGTCTTACCTTCAAACCTTGATTGAGACGCAACTTTTTCGATAAACGAAAATGCTAGTACAATTGAATTCCATTTCGCTTGTACTATTCCATTGCATAGGATTTCATACGATTGGTAATTCCTTGTGACTTGTAGGATTTCTTACATTTTGGACAATTACAGTTTGAGCAAGTATTTCTGCCATTTTACGCGACAATCCATTTGCGGTAGTTGTTCTTTGTCCATGAACTCATTGTATTTGTGGATGATATTGAACTAATAGTTAGTTTTCTATTCTTATATTTCTTTCAAAATAGTAAGATTTTTTTGCAAAAATAATATGTGATTGATCTTGCCAGACTTCAAACTTATTCCTTTCTTAGTAACGATATTTTTTCACGTCGATAAATATCTCTACTGAGTCAAAAAGTTTGATTTTGCCCGATACTACTCAATAGCTATCAAAGATTTCTTAGCACTATATCTGTCAAAGAGGTGTTTTTTGAGTTATGATTTCAACTCTGAAATGATCATCTGTTGGCTATTATAGGAAAGACTAAAGAAAGCTTTTATAAATTTTATTTTATTTTTATCTTACTGAAGTCATTAGCTCAGCATTTACTATCACATCTATGTCTATAATTATTATCAGCAAGTCAACTACACAAGTATCGATTTCTTTCTCATTTTATTGTTATAGGTATTCCATGTATTCCATCAAACAAATATGTTTTGGCGTATAATGTTACACCAATTATCCATCAGAAGCAAACGTATACATACACAGCAGCATCCACTGGTATGAACATATTAGAATTCGGTTTTAAAGCTCTAAGCACAACAAAGACTTGGCATCTTGATGATGTCAATATTATAGATAAAAATTTATCCAACTCTGAAATACTTGTAAATAGTGTCTTTGAGAATGGTACTTTAATTGGTTGACAAGTACTCTGTTCCAGTGTCAATTGTGAGACGAAAGGTAGTAATGTTATTCAATCAAATTTTTATACGGGCTCCCATTGTTATCAAGGTATATGTCAAAATAATTACGATTTTTTACGTCCAACATTTTTAGTGACAAACGGACACATTTATGTCTTAACCTTTTGATTATACACTGATGGACATCATTCGCAACTTGCCTATGTAAATATCAGTTAGGAACTAGCGTATAAATCCTATTCGCTAGATTAATGCATTTTTTTGTAATTTCAATATGATTATTTATATATTATTGAAGTTTTATTATAGTTATTGTGATCTTCTTTTGTATTCTTAGATCACTTTAAGAAACACCAGAATATGTTCATCTTAAATAGGTTATATTTATATCATAGATGATCTATATATTGTATACCATAATAAATCAAATGAGTTCTTTTTGTCAAAAGTATTTTTTCCCTTTTTTAATAATAGTCAATGTACTTCAATACAATTGATTGATCATGTTTTTATTTCGATTAATTTCACTAGACTTCATGTATAGATCACAGATAATTGATTATGTTTGCTTGTTTATTAATTTTTCATCGAACATAGCAAAACAATATATCTTGAGCTACTAGGTTACAGATTATTTTAGTGAAAGGAATATTTTTAGCTACTAATAAAACATCGCTTTCGATGAATATTATGAAAAGATTAGAAATATTGTGGAATGTTTTTTTTTTATCATCCATAAATGAATTCTTGGCAACCAATGTGTTAATATTAAAAGTCTGAATTTCTTCTCGGTTTTACAAGCGTTATGTTGGGAATCAATATAATTGTTTGTAATAACTGGATGTTGAAATTCGGAGTTCAATATAAAATGTTTCACTCTTGTTGGAAGTATAGTCTGTGTTTAGATCGATTGGTTTTCTCATGATTTATGACCGTTTGTTATGCAGAATAATTTCAAAAAAAAATGTAGACAAAATGAATGTTTATATTTTACTGTGAAATTTATTATGAACTATTGATTTAAGTTTTAAACAAAGATTAGATGGGAACAATAAATATTCTTTTATTTTGAATACCATCGTCCAAAAAACAAAGGATAAAGAATAAGATTATTCAACAGAATTGTTTTAGAGAGCAGCATGGGATTCATCCACAGAGAAGTTAGGATCAACCTTACGATCTCCTGTTGTCCCTTAACGCGTAAAGTAGAAACATTAAAATCATTCTTCATTGGTAGAATATCACGTACATAGCTTTGCCATTGTACTTTGGATCACTGCGAACGCCTCCTATTAGTAGTTGGGACATCTGTACCTTCAACTTCAATAGCTATTCGATTGGAATTTGAATATAGCGACGAATCAACAAGTAACACTCGTCGTTACGACTCGCTTGACTCTCGACTGAATCCAATTTAATCATTATCTATCATTATCTCTTGGATTCTTTTTTGAAAACTATTGGCGAATACATATGCATATACAAAAAACCTGTATACTACTGTCGATGACGACCGCTTTGTAAAAAATCTGGCTTTTCAATTTTCTCTTGAGATTTTCCAATGTGAACCGTAAGAGACAGCTCGCAGTCAGTCGTCGGCGTCCATACGAGTCGCCACTGGTGACTGCTCGATTTCGTATATGATATGAGTATAATTTAACGGTGCTTCATTCTCTTGTAGACCTTTGGCTGCAGGTTTTTTAAGAAATTGTTAATGTGGGTATGGGTGTGGATGTGGGTGTGTGGATGTCAAAGTGATACGAATACACACTCACAGCAACAGCCAAACTCATATCCATACACCCAAACTCATCCGACACCCACACTCACATCCACACCCACCCGCACGCACACGCACACCTTCTTCGATACTTCCCATTTCGTCGAACTTTCGTTCAAGGTTCAAAATATTTTTTCGTATTGGAGGAATTCGATCATGATGCTTCTCAAACTGCCGAGCAACTTTACTTGCATCCTCGCGAACGGCATACCATTTTACAATTTCAGTCCATTCAGATAAGGTTAGCCGAGAAAGTTCAGTCATATTAAAAATCTGAAAAAGTTTAAGCATTATTGGGTTTGGATAGTCATTCGTTGCTTATTTTCGTTCAATTATGTCACACACGCGATCGCATACAGTTCTCGAATAAAAACAGTTAGAAATGTGCATAGAATCGAGAGTACGACGAAAACAAAAAATGAAGCAATAGATAAAAGAGTTAAACACTTGTGTTGTTCTTTCTCAGATACCATTACTAGCACATATATGAATGCTAGTATAGGAAGCAAAATAATAAATCTTATGACAATAAAAGTATAACTGTGAAATATGTTATTTAAATTTTGAATCGTCTTGTATTTGTATACTTTTGAACAAATTGCTACACCTGAATATTGATCATATGCTAAACCTTTTATAAACATCACCTAGTACATGCGATGAAAATGAGACCTCACTAACCATGTGAAAAGAATAAATCGAATACATCCTGTGTTTTTTTCGTTTCCTTACTTTTGGCCCACTTTGTATAGTGGCATTCCAATGAAGCTAGAAGAGCTACAAACGTCTCTATCCAAACTGCCATCTTCACGGCAAACCCATTTGAAGTCACGAACAGTAATGAGATCATACAAGAAGCAAGCAGGGGCATAAGCATCGATCTTGAAACCACCGCAGATTCGAATTACGCATCTTAAACCGCGACGGGTGTCAAGAACTTAAAAGCCACCGCGGCACGTAGCGGGATCACCAATGAAACTTGGAAAAGCACAAAGGTAGGTATTAGAACCACCGTCTGAATGAAGACTGATTCTAAAAGCCGCGTTCGCAAGGAGCACATTGAAAGAGACAATGAAGAGTACTGGGGCCGCGCAAAATATAGTAACGATGCGACAAACCACAGTGGTACCACGGCGACTACGAGGAATCTGTCTCAAACCGAGACGAGTCTCAAGACTGCGAAAGTGACCGCAAAAGTCAACGAGACCATCAATGAAGTCACAAAGAGTACCAAAGTGGTTATTCATAACGGTGATCTTTGCGGAGGCCTCGTCAAAAGCTGCGTTCTTTAGTAGCACTTTGTACGTAGCTAAGAAAAGGACTGGAA